TATGTTTCTTATGAAATAAGAAGTCTGTAAAGTAAGCAGAGCTGATGCCAGTTATTCAAGAGGGATAACAAGGGCCAAAGAGCCTTCTTCCACCTTTACAAAAGGTCTCTTGACCTAAACTTGCTTATCAGCTACTATCCCTCAATCAATAATATTTTTAGATAGATGGACATAGAAACTAAGGTTTGGGATGAGTCTTCCATATAAATAATCAAGTCATGCCAAATGGCTCAGGGTAAAAAAAAAAAAAAAAAAAAAGAGACAGTAAACCAGAGTACTTACTCTTTGATAAATAACAGGGAATGAACAGAAGTGTGAAAGAGTTCATCAGTAAGAAAGAGTAAATGTAGTACCGCCAAATTCCACAAACCTTTAAAACACTGAGGCTTTCACATAAGGGTGAAAGAATAAAAGGCAACATTTAATAAAAAGGACCACTTCTCAATGCTGAGTTACATGGATATGGAAGAATGAGTTATCTTGTCTTGAAAATGAAATGTGCTTACTAAAACAAGATTCCCGATGATATAATAAAAATTTTGATAAGACGGAGAGCTAATGAGGATGCTTTAGGGAAGTGAAAAAAAGTCAAGAATAGATCTGACATATATAATGCCGAATTAGTATGTCATTAATAAGACTATTTAAAGGAGGGGTGCCTGAGTGGCTCAGTTGGTTAAGTGTCTGACTTTGGCTCAGGTCATGATCTCACAGTTCAGGAGTTCAAGCCCTGCATAGGGCTCTGTGCTGAGAGCACGGAACCTGGAGCCTACGTCAGATTCTTTGTCTCCCTCTCTCTCTGCCCCTCCCCAAGTCATGCTCTGTCTTTGTCTCTCAAAAATAAATACAAAGATTAAAAATTTTTTAAAAATAAGACTATTTAACAGAGAGAACACATGGCTAACAGAAGTAACATGGCTGGAGTAGGGGGAGGTGAAAGCTCACCAAGGGAAGACAAACTAGTCCTGGACAAGGTCCCATTTCTAGGAGAATCTGAGTTCCTAATAAAATGGAAGACTCCTGACTAAAATGAGCCATCATGAGTCAGTATGCATCTTGTGGTGATAAGGATTCACTGGAAACACCATAAAAGAATATCACAGAGTAAAAACCCAAGGCCTCAAAACATCCCTATGAAAGAAGGTTAGTGATTCCTTAGGAATAAATAGAAAACCCTCCTTTGATAAATTCAGGTATCAAATTATCACATAAGCTATTCTATGTGAATCTGAATATGTGTGTGTCTGATTGAGTGTAGTAACATCTGACTAGGCAGAATAACAATGATAAACATTTAAGTGTTTAAAAGTATATTTAGAGATTTGCCGTAAGTAATCTCATTTTATTTAGGTAAATGGCTAATAAGTGAAGATAAACTATTAGAGTTATGTGTAGATGTAAAAGAAAAGAAATATGAATATAAATTAAGAGAATTAAAAACAATTTCAAAATAAATAAAGAACATAAAATTGTTTTAAATGATGAGATATAAAAAATAAAAATATAAATACCAAAAAAATCAAATAAGGGTCATAAAAAAATATATACAGTTCTGGAAACAAAGAATAAAATGAAAGCAAGACATTCCTTCAAAGCTACAGAAAATCAGAATTGTACAAGTCACTAGCTAGCTGTAAGTTACTAATTATCTTGGGCTCCAAAGACATCATTGTATATAAAATGACAGATTGGACATGATGATACCAATGGATTCTACATCCTCTAATATTTTTATGACTATATAAGTCAAGATAACACAAAACTTACAAATGTAAGGAGTTATTCTTACACTTATGAATAGTACTTAACTCAATGATTATAGGACAGTAATATTTTAGAACACCGTAACTTAAATGCTGAATTTGGTGACATTGAAACAGGAATTATACACCTACTACAACTCTCAACAAATATAAGAAAAAATGTATGAAGGTATATAATCATTGAGTACTCTTTTAGCATTTTCCATTCTGGTTTGAAGGCCGTAATTTGTTTTTCCTAACATAGTGAGTCTGGAAGAATGACAGCCTAAAATATAGGGACTTTAATTAAGGAATTTGCAGTATTCAGGCAATTAAACTTAAACTGTAAAATAACGTGTAAATATAATTCTTTATAAAACTTCGAAGATAGGACACAATTCCTATTATTCATAGGAATTATACATTATACATTAAAATATTAAGAAATTAGTGTTCCAGGTTACTAAATTAAGCAACCATAAGAATTGATTATAAAATTAATATTGAACTATATAGTTACATGTCATAGTGAAAAGCCTTATCTTGTACTGTCATCAATTTTTATTACCTATCAAGAAAAATATTATTATATTCCCTTCCTCACAGAAATTGAAAGTAGGAAGGTAAAACTGAGCTTACCAGCTGATAAAAAAGTCAAATTTGGAAAACAAAAAACTTAATACCCTCACAGATTTAAAAGTGAACAATCTTCTCCTCAGATACTGCACAAAAGTACACTTTTTTTTCCCTTCCCATGTTTTGACGTAGTAGAAAGCACATATTTTTCTCAACTGTGAGAGGTAAATAAAGAAAAGAAATAAATTAAAGAGAAATAGAAAACAAGCCACTTTCATTTTTTAATGAGCTCGTTTGGTATCCGAGTGCTAGTATTCCTTCAAAAGAATTTTGTTTACTATCATATTAAGCAATCCAAAAACACCACTCTTCCCATTTGAAGAGGCAGTTTAAAGTGGATGATTCACTGGACCCTTGGATAATTTCTGTGTCTGACTAGAGTAGGCCTGAGACAGCCTTCCCCCTTACCTGATCTCTTTTGACTTCTGATGTGGAAGGAGAGGAAGCCTCAAAACTGAGCCTTAAGGCACAATTTTTACAGCACTGGGAGACACAACCAGGCTCCAGCTTATCCTCACAATACAAACATGTCTTTTTCTTCTCCATCTCAAATCTTAGCAAGAGCTGCTGCTGATGGGCCCACAGAAATCATTTTGTCCACAGATCTTCCTGTCAGAGCCAAATGCAAGATAGAAAAGACATAGATCGGATCTCCTATTTGATACTATCTCCCCCTGTTGGCATGGAAGTATACCCGTCAGCTCTGCGTAAGAGGAATTGATACATCCAACAAATGTTACTGTTTATCCAATAGAAGAGAAAATCCTTATGCTTTAAGTGAAGATCTATTATTTAAGAAATAGATCCATTTTCCAACTGATTTTTTTTAAATAAGTAGTTTTCTTCCTATATAACCTAAACAAGTCTTTCTGCTTCAGGAACTTAGATCTTGAGAACTGAGAATAAACCAAACTTTTAAGCACTTGTTAAAACAACACTGTCCAAGCAGCTGTACTACAAAGCTTTTCTTAACCCAGGGCTTTTAAATTAATTATTTCTTGGCGGCGCCTGGGTGGCTCAGTCGGTTGAGTGTCCGACCTCAGCTCAGGTCATGATCTCACGGTTTGTGGGTTCGAGCCCCGCGTCAGGCTCTGTGCTGACAGCTCAGAGCCTGGAGTCTGCTTCGGATTCTGTGTCTCCCTCTCTCTCTGACCCTCCCCTGCTCACGCTGTCTCTCTCTCTCGGAAATAAATTAAAAAAATAATTGTTTCTTAAATAAGAAAAGGAAAAGCAAGAAAAGCCTACTATACAAAAGTCTTAGTAAAACTTTCTTGGGTTCACAATCCTGTCATAACATCTCCTCCTTTAGGCCCTCAGCCTCCGTTTCTAAGTTAATGTAATTTAAAGATAAATAAAAAGAATAAAATTTACCTCTTTGTATAATTTCCTCTATTCTTCTATTTTAAATTTACCGATTTTGGTTTTGTTGTCCATAACAATTCACCTTTCAATCATGTCCATCAGAGGAAAGTGTTCTATTTCAAATTTTGAGAATAATTATATAAAATGATGCATTTAATAAATAATAATGGGCAACATGGGCTAGGGAGCTTCTTATGAGTCAGGCATTGTTCTAAACATTTTAGGTAGATTATCTCACTTAATCACCTATAATAATCCTATGCAACAGGTTCTGTTACAAGCCCCAGTTTACGGATGAGAAAACTGAGGCACAGAGAGCTTGGTGGCACAGAGTTGCCATGGTTACATGGCCAGCAAGTGGGTAACCCACAATTCAAACCCAAGCAACTCTACTCTAGAATCCATGCACTTAACCATTCTACCATGTTAAGGTAGGTCACTGCTCTACCTCACCAAAAGTATGCTGTTGCCAAGAAAGAGTCTCAAAGGCTGTAGTAGCAACTTGCTAATTTTGTCCTTCTACCACAGAGCTGATATACTCAAAGAAACAATACATACCAATTCTCAACATCTTTCTTTGGTGTCATTTTCTGCCTAGATCATTTTAAACATAATTCAGATTTTTACATCTACAGATTCACCTATATTTTCCTCCCTTGATCTCTCATTTCCTGTTTGGTCTTATTCATTTATTCTTTCAATATTCATTTAGCATTTACTAGATACCTGGCATAGAAATTCACAGGCTCATAAAAAGTTACAAAATATTTAAATCTGGAAACAATATTGCAGATAAAATAAATCAAGACTGATGTTCACAGTCAAGGAATACAAAATCTAAGGTAGCTAGATTTCTTGCTTGTTGGTGTAGCCCAGAGAAAAGCTAATTCAGGTATGTCTTCTATGATCATCTAATACCCATTGATTTTGCTTTTCAGAATAGAAAATTTTAATGTCACCTACAGACCTTACCAGGCAATCTTCCAGATCACTTATAAAGATAACAAACACAGTGGATGTCGTATTAATGCCCTAGAGCTGCTATAATGAAGTACCACAACAGAAATTTATTTTCTTACAGATCTAGAGCTCAGTGTCTGAAATTCAAGAGTCAGCAGGACCATGCTCCCTCCAAAACTCCTGGGGAAGGATCCTTCCTTGTATATTACAGCTTCCGGGAACTGTAGTCAACCCTTTGCTTCCGGCAGCCCAACTCCAATCTCTGCCTCTGTCTTCACATGGTGATATTCTCTGTAGGTCAGCCTCTCTTCTCTTCTTATTGACACACCCGTCGTACTGGATTACACCCCACTCTGACGACCTCATCTTAATTTCATTACATCTATATATCACATCCAAATAAGGTCATATTTACAGGTATTGGGTATTAGGATTTACAGATCTCTTTTTTGCAGGATACAATTCAATCCATAATAGAAGTGATTATTAACTGCCGAAGCACCTTGATCTTTAATTTTTCCAGCTAACTAAATATGTATTTATTCTTACCCTTTGATTTGACCCTTTTTTTGGGTCATGCTAAAAGCATATTTCCCATCCAATGGTGACTTACTATTTAGTCATCACTGGTAAAAAGTATTGTCAAAGTCTTTTCTAAATCCTAAGTTTATGCCCTATTATCTTCATATAAAAGAACTCTAAGAATAATCAGTCAGGCGTGATTTCTTCCTTAGAAAATGTTCTCTTTCCCCTAGGAGACTATTTTCATATTTGATGACTCTATTTGTTATTATGAGTTCTAAGAGCTTGCCAGTACTCAAAAATATTTAGAGACCCTGTTCTATGTGCCAAGTACTGCACAAAGCTAAGGAAACAGCAGTAAACAAAATGAGAACGCCTGTCTTCTTGGAGCTATGGTTTGGGAAGCTGGCAGAACTTACAGGGAAAGAAAATAGATACTAAAGACATACAGATAAACAAATACGAGTAAATGAGTTACTACACATAAATGCACATATTAAAGTATTTGATGCATAGAAATACTTAGAAGAATCCTACTACATAGTAAATGTTAGCCAACAAAATAGGAGGAGACGGAGTAAAGACACTAGAAATGAACACAAACTAAGAAGTGAAAAGGGGCAGTAGGATAAATAATGATGGCGGGGGTAGACACATAACAAGAGAGCCTGTAAGAGCTACAGCAGTGAGAGAGTATCTCCAAGGAATGCTATATAAGCTGAAATTATGGAAAGAAGACAGTAGTCATGTGAAAAACTGGTGAAAGAATATTGAATGGAGAGAGAAAACAGGGCCTGAGATGAGATGCAGCTTGGCAGGTGAGGGGCAACATGGTCAGAAAGGCTAGAGTGTGGGGCGCCTGGGTGGCTCAGTTGGTTAAGCGTCCGACTTCGACTCAGGTCATGATCTCGTGGTTCGTGGGTTTGAGCCCCGCATCAGGCTCTGTGCTGACGGCTAGCTCAGAGCCTGGAGCCTGCTTCTGATTCTGTGTCTCCCTCTCTCTCTGACCCTCCCCTGCTCACACTCTGTCTGTCTTTCTCTCTCAGAAATTAAAAAAGAAGGAGGAGAAGAAAGAAAGGAAAGAAAAAGCTAGAGTGTGGCAGGTAAGAAGGAGGCAGGCTATACTGGGAGGAGACAGGCAGGGACAAGATTATGTAGTTTAGGTGATGATAAGAAATTTGAATTCTATGTTAGTTACACAGAGAAGCCACTGCAGGGTTGTAAGCAGGGGACAGATAAGATCACATTGAGATCACTCTTGTTACTGCACAGAAAACAAGATGGAGGAAGAGCAAGGGAACAAGCAGATAGTCCAGGCCACGATTTATGCTGCTTTTTTATTAGGATGATCACAGTGGAGACAGTGACAGGGGGTGGGATTTGGGTTTTATTTGCGAGGTGGCAGCAAGAGAACTTGCTGATGGAACGGATGTGGGATTTGAGAAACAGTGAACACAAAGGTGATTCTCAAGATTTTGGCTTGAGCAGCTGATTACAAGTGATACCATTTACTAAGAAGTGGAAAACTGTGAGAATGGCACATTTTGACCAGTTAAATTTGAGGTTACCAGTCCAATAACTGAATGAAATTATCAAATTCTAAGCCAGCCCATACAAATGAAGTTCACTTTAAGCATGTCTTATTCATACATGTGAACAGGAATCACGACAGAACAAAGAATTCATTACGATACCAATAACTAAGCATCATCTTTACATATTTAAGAACTACATTGCAGGGTGATGACTTCTGGTAGGCATGTTAAAAATAGAATACTGTCACATATAAATTTCAAAACAATATGCATTTATTTAGTTTTATTTTTAAAACAGAAAGTGAAAAATATCCCAATTTCAGAAATTTGGTTTCTCTGACACTGAGCTCCACCTGCTGGTAATTTCTTAGCTCTAGGTCGAGTAATTTCTTATCTTAAAGTATTATATTATGAAAAAGAATTACAATATGTTACAGTGAAATACAGCCTCCAACCAAAGTATACTGAAAAAACTCACTTAGGAGATATCATGGTAACTTATTCTTTCCTTATAGCTACCATTTATTGAGTTTAGTTAGATTCCAGGAACTGTGCTAATTCAGACAAACATTATCTCATTAATTTCCAAAATAATTCTGTGAGGTTTCTATGACTTACCGCATCTTACCCATAAGTAAATTGAGCTCAGAGGGATTCCATAATTTTGCTTGTGGTCATATATTTAATAGCATAGAGAGGATTTGAACCAATTTCTCTCTGACTACAAGTCAGTTGGTTTAGCAAACAGGCAACACTGCTCGGATAGAATTTAAGCTATACTGTCAGAAAATTTTGAGTTTGAATCTGCCACTCTGATTCTGAACAAACCCCTTAACCTGTTTAAGCGTCAGTATTCTCATAGAAAATGTAGGAATAACACATTATTTTTTTCCAGTAACAATATTTTATGTCTAGCACACATCAGTTCCTTTCTTTTAGTAATTTTCCTTAAATGACATATTAGAGGCTTTACACTGCCAAATGTTAATGACCCAAATCAAGGGTCCTTCAATCTTTTGAAAATTTTTAAATTTTGAAATGGAATAGATTCTTATAATATTGTTTAGAAAACTACTCCCCCTCTGGGGGACCAGGATGGCTCTGTCGGTTGAACATCCAACTTTAGTTCAGGTCGTGATCTCATGGTTTGTGACTTGAAGCCCCTCATCAGACTTGCTGCTGTCAGTGCAGAGTCCACTTCAGATCCTCTGTCCCCATCTCTCTGTCCCTTCCTTACTCATGTTCTCTTTCTCTCTCTCAAAAAACTAATAATAATAAAATAAACCTTTAAAAAAAAGAAACAAAAGGAAAAAGAAAACTACCCGCTCCAAAATAGAACACATTTCATATAATAGTTGGATTTGTAGCCCTCTTTAACTACTTATCTTTAAAGTCTGCACAAAGAGTGACCGTACTTATACCCAACAAAAAAAGTTACAAAATGAAATTAAGAACAATCAGGTAGAAAACGGTAAGACATTAGTAAGTACAGTATATCATGAAGATTGGAACCAAAAGTTGAAGTTTGACACTGACAACTTCCCTTAAATCATCAGTAATATTTTTTAATTTTTTTTTAATGTTTTATTTATTTCTGAGAGAGAGAGCATGAGCAGGGGAGGGTCAGAGAGAGAGGGAGACACAGAATCTGAAGCAGGCTCCAGGCTCTGAGCTAGGTGGCAGCACAGAGCCCAACATAGGGCTTGAACCCACGAACCACGAGATCATGACCAGAGCCGAAGTCGGACGCTTAACCGACTGAGCCACCCAGGCGCCCCCATTAGTAATATTTTTTAATCGTAACAAGAAATAATGTTTGAATAATTTTATGGGGATTATATTTTCACAAATATACACAAACTACTTTCATATATAAAATATTTCCAATAACTTTCAAAGAAAATAACAGGCTTTCAATTTAAAAAAAAAAGCAGCTAATAAATCTACTAGTAAAGTCTTTTAATCTTACATATTCACCTTCAAACAAGTACTTCTTGGATAAAACCAGTTTATGAACAGCTGCATTCCTAGACCCCTACAGAACTGATTTTAGTGTTTTGGCCTCCACCTCCACGAAGGGATTCTAGATTCTGCAAGAAATGGGGTTATGAATCTCCTTCCTGCATCTGCTGTGGTGATACTGTCAAGGGCAGTGTCACTGCAGAAGTCAGTGTTAAAGCCTCCAGTAAGAAATTCTATTAGAGCTAAACACAATGAAAAGCTTTGCTTCTCCTGCAATGTGACATGCTTTCTTTTATTTAATAGTAAGTGTTATATGACTTTATATCCTTTTTCATTTTGGCCTTTGGGAAGCTTAGAGACAAAATAATAGCTCTAGTGTAGTAACTACATACTATGATCTATATAGTCTTTCCCCTAGTCTTGATAACATGTTACAACCTCTATTTTTCCTGGTTCTGATTTTAGTTTGTTTACATTTTGCCTGAATTTTGTTACCATTAGCTACCTCAGATACTCAGGGGACTAAGGCAGAAAATGAATGAATGAGTGAATGAACATAAGCATATAAACAAGCAAATATAAATCTATACAAATAGCCTTGTAACCTGCAATTTACACATTCCCAGAGCTGACAGACTTTTCTCCTAACAATTTAAGACATAAACCTGATAGAGCTGACAGACTTGTCTCCTAATAATGTAAGACATAAACCTGATAACTTATAATTGGTGACATCATGCTCCCTGCCATGGTCATTCTAATGGGCTATTTTTTTTTTTAAAGGTTCTTTTTTTGCCCCTTCAGAGAAAATGAGAAAGAGAGATAAACCCTAACAGGCTACATGCTCAATGCAGAACTCAACTCCACAATCCCCAGATCAACAGCTGAGCCAAAATCAAGAGTTAGATGCCCAACCCACTGAGCCACCCAGGTGCCCCTGGGCTACCTTTCTTAGAAATGATACTGCTGAACCTTAAAGCATCAGATCTTTTTCAACTCCTGCCAATCAGTTGAAAGAAAACTGGAAGGACACAGGAAGACTCCCTCATGTTCTTTGGTTTTTACCATTTGATTCCCAAATCACGTATATACAGTTGCTAAAAGTCAAAGCTGTCCCTAACTTTGACTTTGGGAGCTGGCAAAGAGGCACCATCCCTAAAGATCATGCAAAAAGCCTATCAGGAAAGGCAGACACAAATTAAATCAGGTTTTCAAATTCCTAAGGAGAACAAAAGACCAGTGTTGTTTAGACAGTATATCTAGCCCATGTTGGTTTTACTTCTCATATACCAAATATCTTAGGTAATGTGCACAATTTGCTCCATCACCTTAAAAGCATGGTATATCTTTCAAGATAGAAATAATTATGCTTTCATTACCTGGCACTACTTTTGAATTATTTAATAAGGAATCACTAAATTAAAGGGAGACTTCTAAATTGTATGCTGTCATAGATGTTAGAAAGTGCATAGGTATTAACTTCTCTTGGTGAGTGCAATAGCTATTGAAAGGTCAAAATCAACATGTTTGAATAGTAGATCTATACTATTCGTCTCTGAAATTAAAAAAAAGAAATCTCATAGATTTTCAATTATTATCAAGATAGACTGGCAAAGAGCCTTTCTGATTAAATATATGTTTAATAAATGACAATTATACAAATAAAGATAATATAAAATATTCATTGTATCATACTAAAAAAGACAACCTGGTCAAAATCTAGAACCCCATCTTCAATTAATTTTTAAGTTCAATTAGTTTTAAGTTTAGAAATTAAATCCTTGAAAACATCAACTATGATATGAAATTGACTGTAGTTACAGAAAGTCAATATAATTCTATTATGCACAAAGGGAGGACAAAAAGGATCTCAGTAAGAGTTTTCAAGATGATTTGAATTTCATCTGTTATCTAATCATGAGTGAACGTGATAAGAGCTATCTAGCAATATTTTTTTCTACCAGTACACCTGCACTGAAGACTAACAAATGTCAAAGACTATGAATATTTTATAAGTAATAAAACTGAAAAAAGCTCACAATATCAAAAAGTATAGATATCTGTAATAATTAAACATTGCTAATATAAGCTCTATCTAAATAACTGTGACATAATAGCAAATCAAAGTAACTATATGTATAATGAAAGTCTATACTCACCTTCTACCCACAAATGCCATAATAAATTATTATATTTCAGATTTCTTTTGAGAGAGAATACATTATTAGAGTAAACATCAGAATGGTCCACTGTAACACTTTCCTCTTAAATACCACCCAATAAAAACATTTGGGAATGAATAACTTAATTTAGTGTTAATCAAATAACTACATAGAAACCAATTTTCTTAAGTTATTGTAATTTGGTTGACTTAAAACTTGAAAATATGAGAATGAATTTTACTAAGTATCTAAACCACAAATTGTATTCATTGATAGATTTTACAGAACTATTTTTTTGTTTGTTTGTTTGTTTTTTAATGTTTATTTATTTTTGAGAGAGAGAGAGAGACAGAGAGTGTGAGCAGGGAAGCGGCAGAGAGGGAGACACAGAATCCGAAGCAGGCTCAAGGCTCTCAGCTGTCGGCACAGAACCTGATGCAGGGCTCGAACTCATCAAGAGTGAAATTATGACCTGAGCCGAAGTCAGACGCTTAACCAACTGAGACACCCAGGCGCCCCAATTTTACTGAACTATTTAAAGCAAAAATGTTGACACAGTTAAGTTATCTTGCTTCAATAGTTTTACTTTAAATTTATGTGCTCTCCTCTGTCAGCTACTTTTTCCTAGTCCCTTTCTCTTTCAACTGACCTACCTCTTATTCTGTATTTTCTTTTGTCCCTTTAGTTCTTCACCTTTAATGTTCTTCACCTCTATTTAGCTTCTTCTTCCCCTCACCTGTTTCTTGTTTCTGCTCTCCCCTCTTCTGAGCTCTCTCTCTCTTTTTTCCTTTCTTGATTACTCCTTAACAGCCTTAGAGACAAAGGATGGAAGGAAAGAGGAATTCCCTCCAATATCAAATTTTAATTGGAAGAGCCTAACTTATCCACTTGTCAAAACCACATAACTCCTTTGTGGGCTAAGAACAATGTTCCGGCTCCATAGAGACTGGACCTAATATGTAAAAAAGAAAAGAAAAAGGAACATAAACCATATAAATTGCCACATTTTCAATACTTCCTATTTGGAACAACTAAGATTCTAGTGACTATTAGATTAATTAAACTTCTCAAAAAACAACCAAAGCTTTTTCTTACCAAGTAGGGTCCCACTGGATTCTGCCTGTCCTTCTATCTCTACCAATCCTATTCTTAGTCCTTTGGCCACTGACTTCTGAAACCAGCCACCCTTCATAATCTATAGCCTACTTCATTTCAATTACCTCCCAAGTTACCCGCCTTCTCCTTACCCTTATTGCCCTTGCTAAGCCCATTTGTTTCCACCTGTAGCCCCTTCACATTCCTGGCTATACTTCAGAAGTAGGTTCTCCTTTCCAACATTTTAAGACCTTTTCCTTCACATTCTCTATTCTATTGTCTGTCCAGATACTTCTCTCAATCTAAAGCACTTTTGAAAAGGGACCAGCCAGGGGCGCCTGGGTGGCTTAGTCGGTTAAGCGTCCGACTTTCGCTTAGGTCATGATCTCGCGGTTCGTGGGTTCGAGCCCCGCGTCGGGCTCTGTGCTGACTGCCAGCTCAGAGCCTGGAGCCTGTTTCAGAGTCTGTATCTCCCTCTCTCTCTGACCCCCCCCGCTCATGCTGTCTCTCTCTCTCCTAGAGATAAATAAAAATATTTAAAAAAAAAAAAAAGAAAAGGGAACAGCCAGGCTTAGACAAAATTGTGAAATAGACTAAATTCATGTTCAGCATCTCAAACTTTCCTTTCCAATACCACACCCACTCAGTAGGCTGCCTGTGTTAGAACTGCCAAGCTTGCACTACCCATTTTCCGAGGTGATTCCTACTTTCTTCGGCTCTCTAAGCCCCTGATTTGAGGTATATGCTAATATTTCACAATGCTTAATAGGCTACTTTCCCAAGAGGCCTTCAAAATTTAAAAGAGCTGTTTAAGGCAACATCCTTTTTGCAAAAAGTCCTCAAGCAAACTTTTTTCAAGCCAAGGGACTTGAAAGACACAACACTTTCTCAACAAACATTATAGTTAACTACAGCTTATTAAGAAAAGAGATAGGAAGGGAGGTAGGTGTACGGTCCCAGAAGAAATACCTTTATATGGGAAGGCAACGGGTGACAGGAAGACAAAAGGATGGTTTGTGTCATTTAAAAAGCACTCCCCCTCCTTCTAAGTAATTCTGAAAAGACAGGCCTTAACACACGGACAAAAACTAACACACACACATACAGCCTTAACACACGGACAAAAACTAACACACACACATACAGAGTTGAGCATGCTTTCATATTGGTCCCATGCTAAATTGGAACAATTTTTTTCTGAAATATTTGAAGTACAAGATGTATACAACAGGGTGTACAAATAAAAAATGTACAGTTTATGTATTTTTCACGGATTGAAAAGGTCCCTATAACCAGAACACAGATCAAAAAAAACAAGTCATTTTTGTATTCCAGAAGTCTTCTATAAGCCTTTTGGTCACCACCCCTCTCCACACCAAGGATCACCACCATCCTAAAGTCTAGTACCACTGATTAGTTTGGCCTCTTTTTGAAATCATAAAATACATATTGTCTGGTATCTTTCACTCGATTATAAGTTTGTAAGGTTCATCCAGACTGCTATAAGTAGTTTTAATTCGTTCATTCTCATTATTACAGATATTCCAATGGATAGGTAAATATTCTACAATTTATCTATTCTACTATTGACATTTGGAAGTTTTCAGTTTGGGTCTATTATAAATAGTGCTCCTGTGAATATTCTTGTGCATGTCTTTAAGGTAATCTATGTATTCATTTCTATTAGATCTATGCCCAGGAGTCGATGTACTAGGATACAGGGTGTGTGCATGTCTGTTTTTAGTAGGTATTGCCAAATAGTTTTTCCAAATGGTTGTAGTGACTAAGACATTATTGAGGACATGGAGCATCTTGGCCCTGCTTAAATGATTCAAAATGCTAAATTTTTGCCTTCGCCAATCTAGAAGTGATAAATACACTAGTTAAGGCTATTTCTCTGCATTCTTTCCTTCTTTCATTCAATGTTACATAGACTTTATTACTTTCTAAAACATAGTCTGGAATAATCTGCCCCTCTACATTATATAACTAGGTGTTTGGTTTGGTTTGATGCTTATATACCAAAATATGCAAAAACAGAGTCCAGCATTTTTTTAAAACCGGAATCTAACACTGATAGTTTCAGTTTACAGCATTGGGCATACTAAAGAAAAGTTTACTGATCACCTATACTTTGTCAGATACTGTGTTAAGCACCAGCATCCCTAATTATTATAAGAGATAAAGTATTTATAATAACAGCATGAACGAAGCCAGGGCATTCTCATTCTCAATGCTATAATCTACTGGCCTATCACACATTCGCCCTCATTTACTGAGGTCTTTGCAAGTGGCTTATGATTAGTTTCTTTCAGCTCAATCCCTAACATTATCATGAATTTTTATACCCAAAGCCTCAAAGTTCTCTGGATGTCTTCATCTCCAATGTTGCTTATTCATGCTTAGCTTCAGCATCACATTCTACCATTCCTAACTTCTGACTTAGCAGAGAGAATTGCTTCATCTGTGTGTGTGTGATTTCAGACCACACTTGAGAGCTTCTTATAAAACTCTTCCTACCTTCTCCAGCGACTTGTAATTAAACTAGATTAACACAATCAGCCCCTGAACTGTCCCCCAAATTTTTCTCTCAGGACTTCACACCTCATAGCTTCATTTCTTTTTCCATTCTTCCTTCCATAGAGACACATCTGGTGTTACGACCAGCGTGTTTCTAGTTGGTCGGAGTCCACAGTTGAGACCAAACAATACAACGTCTTTAAGCAGGCCATTTAGAGGAAATGGTTTTTAGACTAAAAGTCATAAGAAGTCATTTTAGCCATTTTGAGGGGCTCAATATAACCAGATTTATTCTTGCTTGAAACCTTAAGAGATGACTTTGACCAGAGTATGGAGAACAGGTTGGAAGGAGGTCACGGTGGATAGTGACAAACAAGTTAAATAAATCATTATTTTCAAATTGCATTTTTTAAACACTATTTTCATCAGTAGGGTTGAAATTTTTTCCATATTTTATGAAAGTTTATATTTTCTCTATTATGAATTTCTTATTGATATTCTTTTCCCACTTATAATTGGTACTTTACTATTTTATAAACCAATTTGGGTGACTCACTTCTACATTTAAAAACATTAATCCTTTGCCATATCTGCAGCAGAAGTTCCCAGTTTTTACTCTGATTTTTAATTCAGTTTGTTTTTCAACATAGAAAACTGTTCACTCACATTTTCTGCCTTTAGATTTTTAACTTGAGTAATACATCTGAAACTTATTTTTTATGTGGCATGATCTCATGATCTAAATCGGCATTTATCAAATGTATACAATAATCTTGTTCACCTTTAGTCATATTCTTATATTAACATCCTATATAAATAAAAGTTTCTTGGGCTATTTTTCTCTATTAGTCTGTTTGAATAATCTTGTTTCTTAACGATGCTGTTTTATTTTTCTTTTAAGTTTATTTTTAGAAGGGGATGGGGCAGGTGAGAGCTAAGGAGGGACAGAGAGAGAGAATCTGAACAGACTCAGCATGGAGCCCAACTGGGGACTCTAACCATGAGATGGTGACCTGAGTCAAAACTAAGAGTTGGATGCTTAACCAACTGAGCTATCCAGATGTCCCTTAACTATGCTGTTGTAAACAATGTAACCTCTTAGTTGTCCAAATGTTATTATCAGTATGACAGTATTAATTCAAGTTTCAAAATGAAAGCAGATCACATTTATTTGTATTCTTCTTTCAGCCCCCATGAAACCTCTACCACACAGTAAACTATTTAAGTATATATCATTCTGTCTTACTGAATTGTTTCTCCTTCCAAGAATTAAGTGACTTTTAAGCAACTTTAAAACAGATTTATCTGGAAGAATAGACTCTAAAAGATCTCTAGATATATTCTGATAGAGAAAACCCTTCCTAAATCTAGGATCTTATCATTCATCTGGGATATGCAATCATTTAAACCAATGATTTTAAAAATTAAAAGTTGGGTCTTAATGTTTTAAACATTAACACTATAAACAATTTTCTGCAGAACACCATATTAAAAGAAAAAATTTATTAGGATTTAAAAATTTTTCATTAGGCACCAAATGAATCAATAAATAATATTCATATATTCTCTTTATGAAATCCTTCAGTTAAAGTTAAAAAACTAATATCATAAAATAATTTTCAATATTTACAACAAAAGACTTGAGAGATAAATATAAATCTTTCTCTACATGCAAGGTCAAACTTCTACTCACAATTCAAGCTAAAAAATAACTACATTCTCACACATAATTTTTTTTTCTTCTAGAAATTTTTTTTTTTACAAATAGTTTATTGTCAAATTAGTTTCCACATAACACTCAGTGCCCATCCCCACAAGTGTCCTCCTCCATGCCCATCCCCCCTCCCCCCCACATCCATCAGTCCTCAGTTTTTGTCAGCATTCAAGAGTCTCTCATGGTTTGCCTCTCTCCCTTTCCCCCACCATTTCCCCTCTTCTTCTCCCCCATGGTCCTCTGTCAAGTTCCTCCTAATCCTCCTATACGTGCAAACATATGATATTTGTCCTTCTCTGTCTGACTTATTTCGCTCAGCATAACACCCTCAAGGTCCATCCATGTTGCTACACATGGCCAGATTTCATTGTTTCTATTGCCATGTAGTATTCCATGGTATAGATAAACCACATCTTCTTGATCCATTCATCTGTTGATGGACACTTAGGCTCTTTCCATGTTTTAGCTATTGTGGAGAGTGCTGCTATGAACATTGGGGTGCATCTCACACATAAATTTTAAGACAAATGTTATTCAGCTTAATAAATAAAGTGGAAAATAAACTGTAGAGTCTGTAAT